CGCCAATTATCAGCGCCGGAGAAGACATCGCGAACACTTCCTGGCCATCCGGTGAAACTGCTGGGAAGACAATGTTGGAGAAACGTGAACATTTTATTTGTACTGTATAATCTGCAGATTCTGACAGAAATCTGCAACTATCCTTTGAAGCACCGCTCCTCTAAAACAGCAATAAGGATAATTATTAGGTTATCTATATTATTATGTAAATAATAAAAATAACTTAAAGCAAAAATTGGGAAACGTAAAGTCCGAAGTCTTTATATTAAGGGCCATCAGTCAAACAATACTGTTGGTCTGGGTCTAAACCCATATGGAAAAGAAATAGTAAAAATTTATATGTGATTACTCATGAAAGTGGCCACTTTCTCATTACTTTCATACATTGTTTTAAGTAAGTATCCAAAACATACAAGTTTCATTATATAATTTTTCAAGGGATCTTATATCTGTTTTCACTCTTATATGCTTTTCATACAAGTTTCACACAAGACAGATACAAACTTTATAAGAGTTATATATATATCTTTTCCATATGGGAACAGAGCGCGTTGTGTGTGACGTCTTCTTTTGCGCATGCAGGCCACTTTGCGCGTTCACACTAGAGCGCATTTGCTGTCGCATTTTATTTGTAGTGTGAACAAGCAGACAAAAAAATCGGAATTGAGCATTAAGACCTGCAGTGTGAACGTAGCCTTAGAGAAACATTTGTTGAAGTCATTTGCAGAGAAAGAGGACTTTGATGCTTTCATCACCTACATCAGAAATCCAAGGAAGCAAGTAGCAGCTTTTATCAAAGAGAGAGTAAACACATGTCCAGAGAATCAAAAAATGCAGCATTGGATATACTCAGGAAAAATGTGGATGACATCAACAAACTTGTCAGTCAAGCTTTATTTGATGCAACAAATCAAGTCACAACACAGAACAGAGACATTTACATGTGGGTTAAGGAGTTTTCCAGGTTCCTTAAAGATAAACTGACTCTTGGTACCATCTCTTGTCAAAATTTTGGGGACATAAACAATTTTGACTTTCTTAAAGAAGAGATTGAGAAAGGTCTTATATCAATCACAGAGGAGATGAATCAGCTTTCCCTGGATAAGATAAAGGAATTCAGACTGAGTGTTGCTGGGAAACCTGCCCGTTCTGCTCAGCTGTTTGTACCAACACTATGGAAGATCATGTGATTAAGGACAAAATTGATAACAGTTGCCCCTTTCATCAGTCTCAAGCAGTCAATGGTGTGCATTACAGAAACACTAAGGAAATGTGTGTTAAGTTCTGCACAACAGAAGTTGCAAGTGATGGAAAATTTTACCCAGATGAAGTTTCAGAGGAGCTTTTTCTTTATAAAGAGTACAGAAAAGCTGGGCGAGGTTTGCTAACTGGAGCATTACTCCTGATGAGTATACATCGAAGTACTGGATATGGTTTGTTTGCAAATTTAAGAAGAGGCTAGAAGAGCACTATGGTTTAAGTTTCACAGGACGTGGTGAGATTCCCCCTAAATGGACAGAATTCACTAATGAAGAGGTAAGAAGTGATTAAACTGGTAAACAGAAAACAACTTCACAGACATAAACACACAGGCGAGAATATAGGAACAATAATCATTTTAAGAATGCAGTGAGAAATATGTCAGTGTTAATATTAAATCACTGTGTCATCAACAAAGTTTGTGATTAGGACATTTTTCTCATGTGGGAAAAGCAGAAGAATATTTTTATTTATTTTTGAAGAAAAACACAAAGAACAATGAAATTATTGTATGTAAGGACGGTTTAAAATTGTATTTAATCATATCTGAAAATTTAAAGTTTAGCTCATGCAGAGTGCATGAATAGTGTTCTTCATACCCTATTTTTTTTTATATTGTATGGAAGTTATATTAGTTTGCTAACTGGCTTATGTAATTTGAAATCACACCAATATTATCTTGAGTGTTTCAGTACTGAAAATCCTATATTGTCTTTATCCTTGAATGTTTTTTTATTTGCATTTTAAATGAGCATGATTTTTTTTTTTTTAAATTAACACGCACAGAGAGATATTATATGCTTCTGATACATTAAAGCTATTTTTCTGCTGCTCCTGCCTCACAAGGGTTCACTGCACCAAATAGCTCCTCATGCTTGATTTTGGTTGAGGTTTAAGCCAGATGCCTTTCCTTGTGCAACCCTGAAAGGGTCTGTAGCTGGAACTGAACCAACAACACTTTTGCTTGTCAAACAAATGTGTAGATCACTACTCAATGGAAATATTTTCTCTCAATTTAACATAGCTGAACATTACACTCAAATTGAGATTATTTACCTGGTGGTACATCCGTAATAAATGTGCACTGAGAAAAACTGAAGTGCCTCAGCATCTGCCAGACCCCACAGCCAGTGATCTATCTGTGCAGCATCTATCCATTTTCTTAACTGCTGGTCTGATTCAAGGTCATGTGTTGCACCATACATACAGAATATTAGAATATTTGTTGGAAAGCATACCTTTAATGACATGTTTTGGCAAAACGTTTGGAGATTTTTCTTTAGTTATAACTGCAATGTAATTATCAGACTGATAATAAACAGAGATTATGTTCTATTCTTCAAGTCACTGATCGTCTGTGTCTTTTATCCAATATGTACAAAGCTATCACAGTTTACCTATAACTATAAATACATGATCTTAGTCACAGATTATAATTGTGGTGGAAGATTTATTTTCTGATGTATTGATCACATATTTTAACCAAATCACTTTAGTAACTGTAGAATCACTATGCCACCAGTTGTTTGCATGTGGACCACAAATAGGCCTTCTGCTCTATCAAACATACACAATGGGGCCATTGTAAGTTCATGGGAGACGTTAAGCAGATAGTGGGGCTCCTTCTGCTTATCAGGGATGTCGATCTCTAGGTAACGGCAGCAGAAAACAAGGTTGTAATTCTCTCTCTCTGAAGAAAAGGGTTTCAAGGATGAGCTGTGCTGAAGGTATAGACTCACCTGATGTGTTGAGGAATTTTCTTTGTCTCTGAGTTTGGTCAAAGCACATAAGACATGGTCAAAGGAGCTTGCAAAGAAAAGCGTCTGGACTTCTTTAAGTTGCTTGAAGACGTTTCACCTCTCATCCGAGAAGCTTCTTCAGTTCTAAGGTCAAATGGTGGAGAGTCCCAGATATAAACCTAGTGGGAGTTTCCCCCCACAGAGGGACAAAAGGACCCCCTGATGATCCTCTAATCGCCTGAGCCAAGGTGTGAAACTGGGTGTGGGTCCCAATCAGCCAGAGTTTCGGGTGTGTTCATTGTGAAACCTGGCCCCACCTTATCATGCGAATTCCTGAGGTCAGATGGCCCAGGATGTGAGTGGGCGTTAAGGCGTCTGGGAAGGGATCTCAAAACTGGATTATAGATGGCAGAGAGTTGGTGTCGTAAACCCCCGCCTCTGTTCAAAGATGGTCGCTCACAGTGGACATAGATGGCTTCTTTCACTCCTCTTTCAAACCATCTGTCCTCTCTGTCCAAAATGTGAACATTGGCATCCTCGAAAGAGTGTCCTTTATCCTTAAGATGCAGATGGACTGCTGAGTCTTGTCCTGTGGAGGTGGCTCTTCTGTGTTGTGCCATGCGCTTGTGAAGTGGCTGTTTGGTCTCTCCAATGTAGAGGTCTGGGCATTCCTCGCTGCACTGTACAGCATACACCACATTGTTAAGTCTGTGTTTTGGCGTTTTGTCTTTCGGGTGAACCAGTTTTTGTCTGAGCGTGTTGCTGGGTCTGAAATACACTGGGATGTCATGCTTGGAGAAAACTCTCCTGAGTTTTTCTGATACACCGGCTACATAGGGGATGACAATGTTGTTGTCATCCCCTATGTAGCCTATGTTTGCCATTTCTCCACAACAGTTGCCCATAGTGGACCTCATCACAGCCACAGAATCTGCCATACGGATTAATAAATTATCACAGACAGAAGCAGAGCAAATCAGGATGAAAGTCTCAGCCACGCTCTCCAGTGCCAAAGTCCCTCCATCCAACCTCACAATACAGGAAAAGAAGGCCGTCGCTTCCCTGAGCAAAGACCACAACATCACTGTTTTACCAGCTGATAAGGGAAGATGCACCGTGGTCCTAAACACTACAGATTACCATACAAAGATCACTACTCTCCTCAGTGACAACAATACCTACGAAGCCCTAAAGCGAGACCCCACAAGCAGCTACAAAAAGAAAGTTATAGCTTGCCTTCAAGACTTTGAAAAGGACAAAATTATTGACCGCCTTACATATCACCGTACAGCCATCCTGCATCACACAGGAGCACCCACAGACAGCTCAGCAGTCCATCTGCATCTTAAGGATCAAAGGACACTCTTTGAGGATGCCAATGTTCACATTTTGGACAGAGAGGACAGATGGTTTGAAAGAGGAGTGAAAGAAGCCATCTATGTCCACTGTGAGCGACCATCTTTGAACAGAGGCGGGGGTTTACGACACCAACTCTCTGCCATCTATAATCCAGTTTTGAGATCCCTTCCCAGACGCCTTAACGCCCACTCACATCCTGGGCCATCTGACCTCAGGAATTCGCATGATAAGGTGGGGCCAGGTTTCACAATGAACACACCCGAAACTCTGGCTGATTGGGTCCCACACCCAGTTTCACACCTTGGCTCAGGCGATTAGAGGATCATCAGGGGGTCCTTTTGTCCCTCTGTGGGGGGTAACTCCCACTAGGTTTATATCTGGGACTCTCCACCATTTGACCTTAGAACTGAAGAAGCTTCTCGGATGAGAGGTGAAACGTCTTCAAGCAACTTAAAGAAGTCCAGACGCTTTTCTTTGCAAGCTCCTTTGACTACGATGACCTGGATGACTGAGAACCTTCACAGACACATAAGACATGAGCAACCGCGCCCATTTTCAGAGATTGCTTAGGTGATTGACCAGAGTCTCTCCATATTGCAATATGTTATTAAACTCACTTCAAATCATGCTCACTGAGGTGTTTGCAGGTTTTATTTTAAATTTCCACAACATAATTCAGCAGGATTCCAATGCTAGATGGCTTTATTTATTTGACTGATATATGATATATTTCAGGGGTGGCCAACTCCAGGACTACTTTTTTGTTTGGAACTTAAAAGGCCCACCAGTTAACCTAACATGCATTTCAAAAGAAGTTGGAAACCTATGGAGGCACAAGTAACATACAAACTCCACATAGAAAAGTGTTAACTAGGAACCCTCGTGCCCCACATGCATTTTGTATCATTTGGAGCCATTTTTCTCTGCATGTTTTATCTACATGTTTACATGACTATAAATAATCAGTTACTGGATTTAGCAAAGAACTAATATATGTGCATTTTCTTCTATTGTTCCGTGTCATCATACTTTTACTCTTTCATGCTTTGACTTATACTGTGTTTGTAAGAGGCTGCAAAACCTTAAAGATGACAAAACAGGATTATTTGACTGTAAACATTTTATATCATTTTGCACAACAGGACATTTTAATCCACTTAAATGTATTAATTTCTCTTTATCTCTTAATGATTCTTCAGTCAATAACTGACTCTTATTGTAAGAATAACATTCAGACAGTCAAACCTCATCTATAACTAAAGTGTTAAACACAGCATCTGTTTACAGTTGTATCTCTTAGCAGATCTTGAAGGATTTCAGTTTAAAGTCTCCTGTGACTCTGATGTAGCTGATGGTACCCATACCAACACGATTTGGAAACTGGACTTCCTGTCCATCAGGAAGTTCCACTTCAAACGTGTCTTCAGCCAGTTTCAACACAATCTGAAACAGAAGAAAAGTTCATAAGCAAACATTTTTTCCAAAACACAATCAAATGCAACCCAACCTTCATCCCCCAGCTTAATATCTGCAAGAATATTAGTGTGTTTTTGTGTTTTATGTGGGTAAACCAAACATCCATTTGATCTAATCAAAAACCTTCTTGTGATATTTATAATACTCAGACACTCAGTACATCATCAATTACTTCGATCACATTCCCTCACCTTGACATCAGCACCCCTCTGTAGAGGGTTGTGAATTTCCCGTTTTTCATCGCCCCAGCAACCAGCAATCTTTGAGTTGCACACCAGCACAGCACCATCAGTGTCATCATGGAAACGAGGATTGAAGTGCAGTGCCAGGTCATCTGCATCACAGCCAAGATCGATCTGGAATCTGTTGATCAGAGGTTGTACAAACTAGGTTTTAATATCAATGGCTTGCAGAGCTTTGAACACATGATCACACAGTGGATACAAGATATAATATAATTTGTAAAAGTCCACTTTGTGCTACATTAGATTTTCCTACTGCAGGATTGACAGCATATGTAGCTTTCATTCAGTTTATATCGTTACTGTACTGAAAAAATAAATGTTATGAGTTTTATTAGCTTACCTCTCTGCATCATGCAGAATTACCCCTTTTATTTTCAGCTCATCTCCGGCTCTCAAATCCACATTCTTCAGTTCGAGTTCCTGAACACATGGTTAGAATATAATCTGAAGAAGTCTTGAGAATGAAATAACTTTGCATTTTCAGTTTTGCAAATAATTTATTAAAGGGTAAAATGTAGTTAATTTGCTGACATGTAGTGGCATACACAAACCTAAGCTTACCATACTCATACTGGTTGCTGGTGAACAGTCCTGGATGATGCAGTGTCAACAGAGGTACAGTCTATCGTGCCGGGAGAAAAAAGGTAAATGGGGTAACTGTGAATTCTAGTTTATTTATGATGCAAGACATGAGTTTTAGTAAGATTCTCTTTTGACACTGACTCATTCAACATCATACTATATTCAGTACAAGCACCACTCTGTTTAATCACCTGCAACAGCAAATTAGTATATGAACAAATTAGTGTTTTTGTATTTTTCATTGGTATTAATTTTGCATATTAATGAGGGCCTTCAATATACTGCAGATGACTCTAGGACAAAATAATCTATACTAGTGCACCATACCCACGCAATAAGTCTATTTCGCAACAATTGTTTTTGTATGCTTGACATTTAAAATGATCCACAAACAAGATCATTAGTGAAATGTTCACTTTTTCTATCAAAACAGATCTGTAATAATATTATATCTGACAAATTTCATGCAGGTGCAGGTTGACACTCTAACCACAGGATGGCAGTAAAACGCGTAGTCTAAATTAGAAACAAGCGAATCCTGGAAGGACTTTAATTAAATCTGCTAAAATACAATTACAGTGTTTTCATATGAGCTGATGAGAAGTTTAAAAATAAATAATCTGTATCATTTACACTGAGGAATATAGAATTATAGACTGTAAGAAAAAACTAGAAAATGAATGTCCAGTCCTTCCTTTTGTAATACGTTTTAACAACAACTTCCGTCATCCTTCCGGAAGTGACAAAATAAAGTAAATAGAAGCTGTCTTTAGATCGAGAAGTTGAGATAATTGCGAATAAAAAGGGCGATTCAACAAAAGATATTTTGATTTTATGCACACTAAAGAATATCTTTATGACGACTCTGTGCGACGCCTAAGAAAGGTAAATTGCTTATGGGCTGCTGACGTTTCAGGGGACAACATTAGCTAAATGCACCTGCTATTAGCCTACAGGCTAGCAGCTAATAATCCAAGTTCCTTACTGACCTCGGTCACTGTAATGAAATCTAACAGTGAGTGGTTTGTGTGTGCATGCAGATATATTAAGTGCAACAGTTACATTAATTAAAACGTATTTAAATGGTTGTTGTTGGGATGTTAGCATGCACTGCGGGTTACCAGCTGTTTGCTCTGCTCCAGCGTTTCCTCACTGACTCCACAGCGATTAGATTTGCCGCATCAGGAAAGCAAAGCTGCCAATTTTGGTGATTTTCCGATAGTCCAGCTGACTATAAACTACTTTTAAATTCACCGGTAGCTCAAACTCTTAAACGTGTTCTGATTGTCACTCTTTTAATGAGCGTTTCTTGGGTTTCTGATCACTAGATCCAGTTAAAACCTTTGATTTCTGTTTTATTGTACTCTCTCGCAGGTTTCACAGGGACAGGAGTGACGCTGTCCTGCAATGTTCACAGATATGGACTATGAATTGGAGGAGGACAAACTGTGAGTCATTAATGAGCTTTCTCTACCCACCCCGCCGAATCACATATGCTTTTCATACATTATAAACATAAAACATTATTAAACATCTAAAACAGTAACTGATAAGGTGAATGCCTTGATATAAACTGTGATATAGTTCCCTCATTACAGAATGTCCCAGAATAAGCTGAACAAAATGCTTCAAAGCTCAATTAGTGTGGGGTTTTTTTCTCTCTGTCTTAACAGGGGGATACCAACAGTGCCTGGGACTGTGACTCTGAAGAAAGATGCTAATAATCTTATAGGCATCAGTATTGGTGGTGGGGCTCAGTACTGCCCTTGCCTCTACATTGTTCAGGTGCACACAGAATAATTTATTATGACTTTATTTATTAACATGTCATCGATCACCAGAAGTTTCCATCATGCTGTAAATGTTATAAGACTGTATCTGTCTCAGTTTGCTGCTGTTTAGCATACGGGTCATTAAAGGCAGCTTATCGCCTCTTATTCAGGAAAAATAACTATACTTTGTCACGGTACTTTTTTAAAATGCGGTTGCTGTTGCTTTGCAGGTGTTTGATAACACACCGGCAGCTTTGGATGGGACGCTGGCAGCAGGTGATGAAATCACAGGTGTGAACGGGAAAGCAGTCAAGGGCAAAACTAAGGTGGAGGTGGCCAAGATGATTCAAGCTGTGCAGGTACACCGACTCTGAAAGTGGTTATTAAAAACTCAGCATTACACTATTGACCATAACTGCTATTTAACATTACAGTGTGACAAAAATGCACACAGTTTAGAATAATAGTACAGTCATTTTTGCATCTGTAGCTACAAAAACTCTCACCATCTCCATACACAGTAAAGAAAAAGATGCATTTGACTGATAGCTTTATTAGCCTTTTCAGATTTTTGGTAGTTGTTGTGATGTGATGATTATTTCCATGGATTATTTTGAATAAACTAATAGTGTCATTGCTGTGAAAATCTTATGACAGCCCTGTTGAAATAATGATGTTAACATGAGCCCCATTATTAAACTCTTGTTTTTAAACTTTTAAACCTAAAGACAGCGACTCTTCATACTCACCCTCACCTCTGATGACCAGTGCCCCATAATGAAGAAAAAAAAAGAACCAAACCACAGCTTTACTTGCATGTTGAAACACTGTGTGTCATTTAAAAGAAATTTTGAAAAGAATTCAAAGATGACTCACTTTTTTATGTCCAGCACAGTCCAACAGTTAGTGAGATATGAGCCCACCTTCCCACTGTAGACAGGACACTGTAGGAGTGACTTCACTGGTTTGCTAAGCTGTGCTGAAGAGGTCGGGACAATAGCCCGTAGCATGTGGCGCACCATCACCGGTGAATAGTGGCGCTGTTGTTTTTGGCATCTTTTGTTCACAACCCAAAGAATTCCATGACTTCCTGCGTGGTGGGATAAAGATGGGGTTCAGTGTGGGATTAAAAGGATTAGGTGGTGTTGCTGCTGCCCGTCACTGAAAATACATTTCACACTTAGCACTATAAATGTTGCACATTATTAATTTTAACTTATCTACTAAGGTGAAATGTAACTTTCTTTGGAGCATGCATAGCAGTGCTTTGTACTGCATTCTTGCATAATCTCAACAAAAGCTAAAACAGTTATATTTCTTATATTTAGCACTGCTACAATAGATGCTCTTCCTTTCACCATCCTGTATTTACATTTATTTATTTGGGTTATTTAACTGTTGATCCTATTTTCACAGGGAGAGGCAGTGATCCACTACAATAAGCTGCAGGCTGACCCAAAACAGGGGAAGTCTCTGGACATAGGTATTTATATTTATGTTACTTCCTTTTGAAGCGTGCACTGCAGTGCTGTGTGCTGCATTCTTGCAGAATCTCAACAAATTGTTTTCACTGCTGCGTTAGTTTGTGTTAAACATTGATATTTTCTGTGTTTCAGTGCTGAAAAAAGTCAAACATCGACTCGTAGAGAATTTGAGCTCAGGAACAGCGGATGCTCTTGGACTCAGTCGAGCTATTCTATGCAATGGTAAGACTGCTAGGATGGTAACTGCAGGTTTGTTCATATCTACTTAGATTTAACTCATTCTTCTTTACAGATGGACTTGTCAAAAGACTGGAAGAGCTGGAGAAAACGGCAGAGCTGTACAAAGGTAAAGAATGATAAGATTCTTTACCTAAACAAGTTAATCATGTAGTGTGAAAACTCCATAATCACAGATATGAGAGAGCTTTTAATCCACAGAGACGCTGTTGTTCTCTGTTTGCGTTGCAGGGCTGATGGAGCACACGAAAAGACTACTGAGGGCGTTTTTTGAGCTTTCTCAAACCCACAGAGGTCAGTCACTATATCCAAAATCACAAACGAGAAAAACAGTATTACACCAGTGGAATAATCCACTCTCACCCCCAAGCGAAAGTTTGCTGTTGTTTTTTTTGTTTTGTTTTTTTTCCCCAATGAAGGCTAAAACCTGGTGGAGCTTTTAGTTGAAACGTGACCATAAATGTCATGTTTTCATACAATGTCTGCTTGCTGGTGGAGTTGTATTTATTACTTTTTGTTTTCTAACTTTAGCAGATCTTTGCTCGTAGCTATATCTGAGCGGTTTCTGATTTTGTCCCTTTGCAGCATTTGGAGATGTGTTTTCTGTCATCGGGGTACGAGAGCCCCAGGCTGCTGCCAGCGAGGCTTTTGTGAAGTTTGCTGATGCTCACCGCAACATTGAGAAATACGGCATTCAGCTTCTAAAGACCATCAAACCTGTAAGCACAGATTTAATTTATGCTTTGAGTCATTCATTGTACTAAAAGTGCACACGTCAGTTAAAAACATTCATTTTAAAGAAGGCTTTGGAAAAAAAGTCAGGCTTATACTGTCTGTGTATACTTTATATTGTGTTCTTTAAATCTGTCAGAGTGAAATTTATTATGTAAGATGTCAGTTTTCCAGTGGATGTTAGATTTTAAAGTCTCTCTCGTTGTGCAGATGCTCCATGATCTGAACACGTACCTTAATAAGGCCATACCAGACACCAAGCTCACCATCCGCAAGTACCTGGATGTGAAGTTTGAATATCTGGTGAGACCTGCGGTGCTGTCACTCCGTTTACTGAAGTTCACTGTCAGCCTGTAGGTTGAATAACAGGACGGGTTTTTTGTGTCTTTCAGTCGTACTGCTTGAAGGTGAAGGAAATGGATGATGAAGAATACAGCAGCATCGTGAGTCACAATTTTTACTGATTTAATTATATCAGTATGATATTGACAGTTGATGTAAAACTGACATTTTGATTGCAACATTTTCTTCCTGTTCAGTGTGTGAGTTTATTCTTCTGAGGAAAAATTTGACCCCAGGAAAAATGTAACCGAAACCTGCTACTTTTTGAACGTTCTGAAGCAGAAAGATGAAAACATTAGAAAAACTGACTGTAAGAAGATGGAACATCACATTTGTATCTGCAGACTCTAATATAGATGCCCATCTTTAATTATCATGAGATCATTATGTTCCTCTCTCTAGTTATAGGGATGGTACCTTGAAGTATGAAGCTGCTTGAGATGACTGCGTTTAATCATGTTCTGTTTTGTACACAGGTGTTAGATTAGAGTCAGACTCGGTGATAACAGGTGTTCTTTTTAAAAGGTGTAGATTTACCATCTCAGCATGACCGCCTCTATATCCTTCATGCTCACAGTCAAACTTTAGTTCACCACACTGATGCAGACTTAGCAAGTGCAAGTTTTTTCCTCTCATTTTCCGATAAGCACTCTGTGGAAGAACTGGCTATAAGCTTTCCTCGGATTTCCGCAGCTGAAAACATGTTTAATATGAACCAGTAAATCCTATTTTCCTTCTCACAGGCCATGGGGGAGCCTCTGTACCGCGTCAGCACTGGTAACTATGAGTACCGTTTGGTGCTTCGGTGTCGGCAGGAAGCCCGCGCCCGCTTTGCCAAAATGAGGAAAGACGTCCTGGAGAAGATAGAGCTGCTGGATCAGAAACACGGTCTGTTCTTGCTGTTTTTCACCTTTAGCTATTCCCTCCTCTGTCCTCCGTGGCCTGTAAACAGATGCTGAGGATTTAGTAGCATCAACAGGTTGCTTTTGTTTTCTTTCTTCCTCGTCTCCAGTTCAGGACATCGTGTTCCAGCTGCAGCGCTTCGTGTCGGGAATGTCACATTACTACAATGACTGCTACGCCGTCCTGAAGGAGGCAGATGTGTTCCCCATCGAGGTGGACCTCTCCCGCACAATGATCAACTACAGCAGCCAGCCGTTCTCCTACACAGACGAAGACGAGGAGGAAGAGGGAGGCGGAGAGGGAGGAGGAAGCAGTGCTGGCAGACAAGCAGAAAACGGAGCGGAGAAGCTGATCGATGACGAATGAGAAAGCCCGCATGCGTTTGTGTTTACCATCAGTTACATTTAATGTCTACACACTCAGCAGGCAGTGATCCTTGCAGCAGAAAGCAGCTGCAGGAGCGGTTAACACTGTTCACACAGAGAGGAATACTGATTAGAAATGCTGCTATGATACTGTATGTGGGCGTTTTTACAGTTGTTTCTGTGGATTGTTAAAAATTCTATAGCTTTATGGTTACTTTATGATATTATTTACATTTGCAAATTTTCACTTAAAGAAAATCATTTATGGTGTCTCATAAGGTCATCACTGAAGGAGTGTGAGGGACACAATCAACTGAATGAAGCTTTATTTTGTTGTGAGTGATGTGTTTGAGTTTTAATGTTTCAGACTGGGATCTGTAAGCATATGAGGTGTGCCTTTGCTCTCTGTACAGTGAAGTGTACTGGATCTGAGCTGTTTCAGTGTGGATAATATTTATTTTCTTTGCTGCAGAACCTGCTGCATCTTTGACGTTTATTTGTTTACCTGCTTGAAATGATATCACACTCTAATTGTTTGTCACTGCAGAGAGAAATTCTCAGTGCAACAAACCACTGGATAATTTTACAACATGTCAGGGTGTTTGTTACATTCAGCCTTTTTCCTCCATCTTTGCACATTTTAAGTTGTCCGACCGAGGTTCTTTTTTTTCTTTGTCTAAGGTGTCTGTTTTATCTTCTCGGGCAGCATGCTTCAGGTGGAGTGTTCACATTCCCCTCACTACATTTGCATTCCAGCTGTGCCCTCACAGTATGATGAAGAAACTAAATGGATGCACAGCTTCACCGTGTTGTAAAAAGGAATTTAAGAAAAAACACTAGAAGTGTGTAGAAAAAAGGTGTAAAAGCTCTTTTACTTACTGTTTTATTTATTGTGCTTATCAAATTATATCTGAAAATTTATTAAGGAAAAGTTAATCTGATAGGTTTTGGAACAGTTTAATAAACTATCACTAGGGGGCAGTGTCGCATCAGCTCTTAAATGTTTCTTTTTGTTTCTCTGAATGCAAAGAAAGGGACCCATTGTTTGTGTTTCTTAATTTTCTTGGTTGCTTGCTTCATAATGACTTTTCGGAACTTGACTAAATATATGATAATTTTAATGAATATGCTGTCAGTTTATTTTCTATTTTAACTTTCTTTTACCTCTTTTACCTGTGGCATAGGGTCTGTGCCACATGAATTGCGCAGATGCACTGTCCGTGACATTGTAATATATCAAATAAAGTAAATCCAAATATAAAGGAGGGTTGTGTGTTAAATATAAGAATGTAATCTCGAAGCCTCCATGAATATGGGGCTTTTGCTTTCAGTTGTAAAACGGAACGGAAACATGCCAGCTGCGCAGAAAGAATTCTCTTCGCTGTAGACTCGTCATGTAACTCTGAACCTTCGAAAAGCTCACACAGGCTCCGGACTCAGGCTCTGGTACCTACGATATGAAATCGTCGCAGGGTGATTGTTATAATCTCTAAAGAGTTTCCTGTGAGAGTCACAAAGCCATACAGCCCCAGTGGCCTAATGGATAAGGCACTGGCCTCCTAAGCCAGGGATTGTGGGTTCGAGTCCCATCTGGGGTGGAAAGTTATTTTCTTTCTTTCCTTGTCTCAAAACTAAAAACCATGTACTCTTGTTTACCAACGATCTTAGTTGTTCCAGGAGCTTGTCTCGAAGTGTTTTCACGTGTGCGTACTGTTCCCCTTTTCCGCTCCTGGCCGCAGCCTATCAGGAAACTGAGCTCGCGTCACCTTTGGACTTTCCTTGCATAGAAAAGACAGATTTCCTCTTTACCCGTGCCACTTCTGTTCGAACCATTTCTATGTCCCGCAGCAGTTTTAGTTTTTAGCTCCATTCTCGCAGACATGTCTCCACTAAATTGGTTACATGTCTGTCTTTTATTCATCGTGGCTGCGACCTTCGCCTCTGCTGACAGTAAGTAGGACGAGTACATGAGAAGTCACTGGTGATTGTTTAAGGATCTGAAGAATCAGAATGTCTTTATTGTCATTGTCGCAGGTACATCCAAAATAAAAGTGGTATCCGATCAGTGCATCATCCATAGAAATATAAAAATCGAAATTAAAACAATAACATTTAATTAAATCACTAAATAAAATAAATAAAGTGCTAATAAGAATAGTATGAGCAAACATTCGCACACACATGCTTCAGTCAGTGCATAGATCATTTCAAGAATGGCGTGATGGACATTTTTTAGTAGCAGCATTCAGACATGTTATTGCGGTTGGGTAAAAGCTGTGTTCGACTCTATTTGTCCTTAAACTAATTGCTCTGAACTGTTGCCCTCGGGCACACAGTACAAACAGGGAGTGTCCAGGGTGTGAGGTGATACAGTGATCCTTTGGTCGGTATTAAACTTTCATTTTTGTTTGCACCCATTAATTCATCAGAACAATATAGAGGAAAACATTTCATAAGTAAAGGAGCTGGGATCTGTGCCTCCCTTTTTGTTTATATTTTCATTGTGTTGATGTGTTCTTAGAGCTGACAGCAGCCACTGTGTACTGGGACCCTGATCACAAGCTTGTCAAGTTAAAGGAGGGGGTGATGGAGGTCGAGGGGGATGCTTACGGGTTCCTGAATGACACCCTATCCAGTACAGGCTGGAGCGTCCTTGAGATCCGAGCAGGGTATGGAGAGACTCCTGAAACGGATGAGATCACTTTCTTCCTGGCTGGCTACCTCGAAGGTTTCCTGACCGCCCAGTAAGTGCTGTCAGTTCTTATTATAATCTCATTTCTTTCACTCAAATTCTGAGTCTGGGCATTTTGTATTCACTCTTATACTTGTACTCATTCTTCCTTTTCTTCCCGAGGCAGATGATGGACCACTACACCAACATGTACCCGCAGCTGATCACCGACCCAAAGATGCTCGACCCGGTTCAGAAATTTATGGAGTGAGTCTGTTCCCTTTTCCTTTTAGAGTTACAACCCGAGCAGCAGAAATGTCACATCTACTTCACAATCTGTCATCTTTCATATCCTCTTCTGAAAAAAGTTCAACCAAACATTTAAGCACTCTCGGCGTTGGCATTCAGCCACTCTTGACCACAACAGAGGTGTGGTCAAGAGGAGGGGGGGAGAAATATAGGAGTGGTGGAGAACGAACTTAACCTGCGTGTCTATTGTCTTGCGTAGTTTGGGAGATGATGATGGGTCGGGTGGGCTGCTGCGGGTTCTGTGGGCTCTGGTCCGGATGGGCCTGGGCCCCCTGGCCTTTGTGGATTCCAGAGAGCGGGGATGCCTCCGTGGGCTCGGTCCACTCTGGTACAGCTGGCTGCTGGCAGAGCCCACGGACATGTCACTGCAGCCCCCTCTGGCTTCTGCTCCTGGATGTCCTTCATGCCCTGGGGGACGGGGGTTTGGCTCCCCACACCCTCTAGCAGATCGTTTAATGGAGAAACCTTTTGAATACAAGTGTGCTCATCCACACAGGTCGCGGACAGGTGTACACACGGGTGTTCACAAACACAAACTACACCTTTCTTGGCAAAAGCACATTGTGCACTGTCAGTCTTGCGTGCTCCACAATAACATTCAACATATACGGTTACTTACACTTAGCCAGATTATTGCGACGGTGTCGTACTTATTATATTGCTCTCTTTTTTACTTTCTTTTTTTCTCTTTTTTTTTCCTTCTCTCAACAGGTGATCCAGATGATTTTTTAAGTGCCCTTTCTCACTGTCCCTCTTCACCTGTTTTTCCCTCCCTCTCTTTCTTTCTGTCTTTCTCCCTTTCCTATCCCCCAGTCATGTTTGTCCCGTCTGTAAAACTGAAAATAAAATAAAATAATGAATAATAATAACGAAGGTCATTAAAATTTACCAATACGGCAAGCCTGTCATGACCCACTTGGCAAAGTAAATCTGTTGGGCATCTTTCTTGGCCTTCAGACAGTAATTCTGACGGCTAAAGAACCAAACAGGATAGGCGGAAAAAAAGACCATGTTGCAGAGTTTTGATCAGGTTTTTCTACTGATGCAGTATTACGGTGGGGTTTTTGTAAAGTAGCATTTATCTGTTTAGTTGTCAGTCTAAATATGATTCTTGTACGTTTAGGGAGCAGGACTCATGGGTCAGACAGCAGGTGAACAAGAGCTCCGATCCTCTGTGGAAACACGCCGGCTTCATCATAGCTCAGCTGGACGGATTGCAGGCAGGAGTGGCAGCGTGGGCCGAGAAGCAAGGGAAGAAGGTAGGATAGCCGTTTGGCTGGATTTTTGTCCCACAAAAACGCAACAAAACACAAGAATGTAAAAAAAAAAATGCTAACAAATAAATCTGCACTCTGAGATGCAGAAGCATCAACCAATAATTTTATATCAGGTTTCACAGGCTTAAGTCATGTTAAATATAAAAAGTAGAAGTAATAGTACTTAAGAAGATTTTTATAAATATGCTATAGAGCCAATAGTGATATTAATGGCAGTAAAAGTAATACTACATACCAGCAGTTATGAATTCAAATAATTTATTTGTTTAAAGAATCCACTTTGATTTGCTGTAAGATGTGAATTATTTTTTATATTTTCTTTTCTCATAATTAATTATTTTGTAGCTTTTATTCTGTTTTTTGTTTTGTTTTTGATAAATGGCCGTCTCACATCAGGAGCAGCAGCACTGTTTGTTTGCATTTGATGACCAGCTGTTTATCTGTTGTCCTTCCCAAAGCCGCTGACGCTGTTTGATGTCCAGTTCCTGAACGCGGTGGGAGACCTGCTGGATCTGATCCCAGCCCTGGTCCCCAGCTCCTACCCTTCACTCAGAGACTTCAAACTTCCAGGGATGGGCCACTGCTCTGCACTCATCAAGGTCAGAGGTCAAAACACAAGTTAATCACAGACTGTATATAAAAGATGGATATAGAGACCAAAAGTGATGCTAGCGATGCCTAAAATCAACTCACTCTTTCTTCTGGTTGCAAAAGGTAGTCTGACTTTGAAGAAGCATCTGCTCTATGAACAGTGTTGGGGAGTAAAGGAATACATGTACCGGCATTACGTATTCAAAATACAAAATATGAGTAACTGTATTCCATTACAGTTACCGTTTAAAAAGGTGGTATTCAGAATACAGTTACTTTGTTGAAATAAAGGGATTATACGGCGGTCTTTTCCCGTTTCATATGTTAGGCTATGCCCTTTCTATTTTTGGTAATTCCACGCTGGTGGAAATAAATAAAACACACATTAAGAGGCTCTATCTCCATCTCGCGGCCCATGTCACCTCTATTTGCGGCCCACATAATGACGTGATGAAATATTTTTAAAATTATTGTTCAACAAATTATTTAATATGAAGGCAAAAGGTAGAGTGTTACAGGTATAGCCCTAAAGAATGCCTTTCTCTGTCTCTCGTTAGCAAAGTTGACCCAGACAATAAAGTAAAGCTAGTTTTTGGCTACGAGCCCGACACGGAGCACAGCGCATTAGCCAGACGTCCCTTTACTACGGTTCGGAGCCGCGGACCTGTTTTATATATGCGCAGAATAGTTTTCTATATGAGATCGCTGCAGAGAGTGCAGCCTTACCTAATGTCTCTGTGAAGGTTCTCAGTCATCCAGGTCATCGTAGTCAAAGGAGCTTGCAAAGAAAAGCGTCTGGACTTCTTTAAGTTGCTTGAAGACGTTTCACCTC